ATGTTATGATCTCTCTTTTTTAAAAAGATAATTTACTAACATCTAATATATCATGGTATATGCTTGAAGATAATTGCATTATGTGTTACCCTGATACAATCTCTTCCCAGTGGCTGCTTAAAAGAAGTGCTGGACTGTAACAAGCACTTACAGCTCAAAGCCAGATAGTGAGGCCAGCTTTAGCATTTCATTTTCCTTTCTCTAATCATCTGGCTGTTAGAGGCTGAGCCTGGGGTACGCAGACCGATGCTCTTGAGGAGACCGGAGACGGGTGTAACCAAAGCCACTGGCTGATTTTGTTGACAATGCTGAGCTAGGGAGAAAGGCAAACTGTATCTAATGGGCTGGGGCTGGAGCAGGAAGAAAGGATTTGGATTACTGCTCTGAGGAGGGCTAACATTCTGCTCTGGGACAGAATTTCTGCAACCTGAACTGTCTGTCTATCTGTAGGGCATTAGCCAAGATTCACTATTGACACAGCCCTAAGTAAGAGCTCATTGCAGTATGCACACATACACAGAGAGACACACTGAAAGTTACGTGCATAAATAGCAGACAGAGGTGCTGGGCAGAGAGACAGAAAGACAGGAGGAACAGAAACCCCCAGAGACTGGGAGAAAGCAATCAATCTGCTCACCTCTCTTTCCCGCCCCTCCTCAATACACCATTAGTGGCTCTTTAGCAGATGTAATAAACAGGCTCTAGCAGGAGTTCAAGGCTGTGCACACTGGGACCAATGGCGCTGCCAAGTGCCACAATATGCAAAAATAAATACACTCCATTGATTTGGTGTTCAGAAAAAAGGATAACAGTAATACACAATGAATGCTTCTAAGTAAGTTAGCCTCCACTATATATGCCATGCCATTCCTACATGCCACGGAGGTGTTGCCCATGTTGTGGAAGAGAGAAGGGTTTTATATCAAATCCTTTTATTATATGCAAAAAGACAACATGGACCTGTTAGCAACAATGTTACGGCCCATTTCTGTAGCCCGTTATCGTCCTAATTAAAGACTTATAACTGATTGACAACACATTAGTAATAAGTAATAATCATTAATAAGGCTATTAATTACTGCTTATAAACCCTTTATAAATGCTGCCTCACAAGCAGTACCCTAATTCTCCAGCATATCTCATTTTATTAATTTATAATTTCCCAGAACGCCCATTGACAATGTCCATGGAAGAGGCTTACAGTGACTGCTTTTGATCAGTAACAGCCATATAGCAGGTATAAACAAGCTAAGATAGGCAACACTTTCCTAATCACTGAGGTGCACTTGTTGTACAAGCACCGACTCAAAATAAAACACATGCGTTCATTGCACCTGCTTACTGCATGTAGGAAAAAACACTACAGACAAGAGGAATTTCAAATAATTCATACATCTTCCATTTTTGATTCTGAAATGCAAGACCATGCATGAGATATGGCAAGGTGACATTACTTAAAATATCTCATCATGCTGTTGCTTAATCAATGTTGACCCTGTTATTTGCACAAATAAAACGCATAAATAAAGAGAAAATACTGTTTATATCACCAAACAACACAAAGGGCTCAGAAAGACACAAATAGCTGTTTCCAAGCTGTAGCCATTTTCCACAGGAGAGTAAATAGCTGGTTATCAGACCTGTTCTTGAATATTTTCAAGGTAGGAGAGAACACACTTTAAATTTGCTTTATAATCAGTGAGAATGTGTTGGTTACTTGTTGCCACATGCAGGTACATGAGCTGGAGGAAGAATCGATGATTATGTGTGGGAGGCTGCAATACAGAGAGAGGTTCAATGTAAGTTTACAACACTATAATTAGTCCCATTAGACCTGACAAAGAAATGATTACTTGTCACTTGTCTTAGTCAGGTCTTCAGCCTTACTGCACTCTCAGCTACACCTGAAACCTGCAGGCAGCCACACACAGTTTCTCTTAAAACAACAGTATACCAACAAGACACACACAGAACAACCCACACCACTAATGCTCACACAAACCCATTCAGCACTGTGTGTAAACTGATTGATTGCTAGAGTAAGAGTTCTTATGCAGTGGTTATTGACAGCAGAAAATGGACTCAAAGTAGACATTTTACTTTTCACATTAAAAATTAAATAGCAGATTACTTCATCAAAGATTCATTATGATTAGACTTTCATAAATGGACTTAGGAAAGGCCTTGAAAAAGCTTCATGTGGTTTGAAAGCAATTATCACAGATGGATGAGGGTTGGCTTACTGAATAGTATATAAAAACTGTGAAAGACAGATGTACATTCAAAACTTACATCCTTTTCATTTACAATGGATAGTTCAGATCACTGATTATTTGAAGGCAATTAGTTTTATAAAGACAAAGGTGCTGCTGGTTTGAATGCAAGAATCTGTCACAGCTTCGCCAAGGTGTGGAGGATGATATGATTTAAGAAGTATCCTATCTAAATCAAAGTAAGACATTATGAGGACAAGGATTCATTTTAAACCGCACCATGGCAATAATGTATCTCATTGACTAAAGTCTTGTTGCTGCCTGCCTCTCAACTTATAAAACGGAAGACTGCACTGCAGTCACAGCACTTTGTCTTTTAACATGCACATTAACAGAGGGTGACTGCTGGCCCTATTTCACCTCAAGGACAGTGGCCACATACCCTACGTTTTTCCCATTTGTGACATTGAATGGCTGACCTGAGCTTTTAGGCTTTTGCTTGGATACGACAATGAAACCTGCATAAAAATGAACAGAATAAGATCTATAGTCTGCTGTCAAAGCAACATTTTGCTCTTTCTTAGCTGCTAATATTAAGTCATGCTGCCTGTTGGTATCAGCACGCAGCATATGTTTTCATAGTGAAGTACAACAATCAGCCATAACATCATGACCACTGACAGGTGAAGTCAATAACACAGACTATCTTATTGAAAGTGAGTATTCTGTCCTCCAAGTTTAATTGTTGGAAGCAAGAAAATGGGCAAGTGTAGGGAGCTGAGTGACTTTGACAAGGGCCAAACTGTGATGGCTGACAACTGGGTCAGATCATCACCCAAACTGTAGGCCTGCAGTGGTTAGTACCTACCAACAGTGTCTAAGGAAGGACAAACAGTGAACCAGCGACAGGGTCATGGACACCCAAAGCTAACTGACGATGAGGTTGACCTACTGTAGATTAAACTTTTAAATTTCATCATGTGTTTCAAAGATTCCATTTTGCTTGAATCTTTGTTAAAACTGTTGAAACTAAGAAATACTGTACATTGGTCTCTGTGAAGACAAACATTCAGCAGCTGTAGTGGTGATATCACACACAGAGTGGTGAGGCTGTTGAATTCGTCTAAAACATCATCTCTAACTTGTCCTCACACAGTTTTCACTCCTTTTACATAAGTTGTTCACTGAGTGGTCGATACACTCGTGCTCTTCCTGACAGAACTATTGAAGCATAGGGATTCACAGAAGATGCACAGTGAGCTGCAGAGTGACATGAGGGCCAACCAACTGCCACACTGACTCCTTTGTACACAGTATTAGGCAGGTGGTCATAATGTTATGGCTGATTGGTTTAAGTCTGCGGGAGAACTCCTTCAAGACAAAAAGACTTCTGTGATGGAGACTGTTTTTATATATAATAATCTTCACTGTTGCAATCACATTTCACTTGCACTATTACTATAAGTAATTATATAATTTTAATTATTTGCCTTTCCACTTGAGAATCTGCCCTTGTGTTTTAAAAATATTTACAACTCTCCTTTACATTTACCCACTGTCATCTTCACCTGCCAAGACCTTCACTTCACATTGCCCATATTCAGAGTTTGTGTTAAGGGACCTGTACAGCTGTCCACCCCTGAGGCTCGCAGCACCAATACATTACCAGCAATTCACAAAAATCACATCACAATTTCTCAGAAAGTACCGGTATATCGTGCAACACTAGAACTGACATATTCAAATTCTTTGTAAATTTGTAGCAGTTCTACTTGACTTAAAATGACTTAATTGATTAAATGATTACCAAAGAAGTTGCCAGTTCAATTGATTAACCAACTAAGCACCTAATCATTTGGGTACCAGTAACTGCAACTATACTGCTGCTACCAACAGTGCAAAAAAAAAAGATACATTAGTAAAGACATGATGTTGTTATCAGGTCTAAATGGGAATAGTGTTTTATGTACATGCATTTACACACTGATGAAAGTGCAGCTCAGCTCATGTAACTCTAGTACATCCATTGGCAGTCTACACATACCCATCTATAACTGTGCAAAGGTCAAGCAAATCAATAGACCGATAGCAGGATCTTGGTAACACCACTTAGTAATTCAGTATTCCTCTTCAGTTCTGTCTGATGTGCACACGGAAGGCAGGTAATGCAGCCACAAAACCAAAAATACCAACAATTCGCCCTTAAGTTTGATCTGAACAACACAAAGCTTCCTTCAGAGCCTGTAATGCAACAGTAGCTTTATGCCAAGTATGCCACTTTAAGTAATGGGCCCTGCTTTTAATGTCTGCTCTTTTCTTTATTTACAGTGGAGTGTCATTAAAGCAGACACGCTGACTTAGAGAAACATTTTTATTTACAGCAGACTTAGGATTGTAAATAACTGAATTACCTCTCAGCAATAAATCAATTCTTTCTTTCATAACTGATTGTCTATAGTCCTCTTTTTTTCTTACTATCCTGACATTATATTTATCTTTTAGTACACTCTACAGGATGCAACAGTTTTGTCACCCTTTCATAGAAGAGTTTCCTTAAAATCCAGCATTGTTATGCTAAACTGTATATTTTTGGGTCACATTTCAATTTTACATTCTTATATAAAATATTACCAATCATTTAAAAGTGATCATATTTACTAGATATGAAATTCACCTTGACTATATATGAAGTGCCAGCTCGCACTGATGATTTTCAATTTAGAGCCTGCTAGTTCCCAGGAGGATCAAACATTCAATACTAATTTTAAACCTATTGCTGTAACTTACCTCTGTGAAGTTTTCAGGGCCGCACTCATCGCCTCTGAACTCACATTCCAGTAGCATGTCCTCCATGCGGTGTCGAGTGCGATTGAAGAATTCGTCCATGCTGAAGCCAGAGCCTGGTGGGCGGTCTGGCTCCAGGGCGAGCGGGAACCCCGGTGCCATGCCTTCTTCGAAGCCCAACAGAGGGCTCATGAAAATCAAATCGCTGTAGCTCATCTGAGACTTTCGTATAAAGTTGTAGTTACATATGGTGACAGCTGGGAAAGTAAGGTTGTTGGCCACTTTTTCATCCAGGATAGTAATGTGATCATACTGGAGATAGTATATGACTCTGTCAGCCACCTGGAGCAGAAAGGCGGACACAGCCATTGTGAAGACCACCGCCCACAAGCCCTGGCGAATACCAAATTTCTTGTTCTCCACAAACACATGGTTGGTACCATGAAGTGAAGAACCACTGAAGAAAGTGGCCAGGTCTTTCACATCACTGTTATCATCTTCCTCATCATTGTAATCATCCACCTGACTACAGCCATGCAGGTAGTCTTGTGAGTCCCCATCATCGTAACTCTTCTTTACACGTCGGTAGTGGTCATCAAACATGTCTTTACCATATCCTCCGCTGGGCTCATCATCGGACGAAAAGGAGATGGTGCACATAATTCGAACCGGCATGGTGGCACAATGACTAAGGCAATAATTCTCACAAATCTTATAAATGACAATATGAGGCTAAAGTCCAGAGGAAAACCTTGTCCTCAAACAATCAACAAATCCAAAATCCTTTAGAAATGAAAAAAAATTAAGAAGAGAAGTTGTATTTAAGGGACTGGCATAAATCCATTAGCTGAAATAATCCTAGACTTCACTGACCAAACACACCTAGAAAAGTCTAGAGACTAATAAACCCACAACAAACCACGGTGGTGTCAATCAAAATTCAAAACCAACCAAACACTAGTGTCCCAAACAAAGTCAAAACATCATCTGAAGCAAAGAGCACAAGCCACACATCCCCGCTCACCAACTTGTCCTGGTGTCTCAGGGGCAGATCCCTTAGAACAATTTCGAAAGAGAAAAGAAGACTTAGAAGAAGACAAGGAGTAGGAGGAGGAGAAGGAGGGGAAAGAAGGCGAGGCCATGAGGAGTATAGGACACACAATACTCCCACAGGGCCCAGTTATAGGTCATTGTGCTAGGACAGAGTTTCACCATTTATAGGGAAAAAAAAAAACCTAGAGGCTTGATGCAGTGGGAGAGAGGAAATGTAAAAGAACAGCAGCAAAGCCACTAAACGGGCTGTTTATTTCTGCTGATTTTACTGTTCTGCATGACCTCAGCCCTCTCTCGAGAACAAAATGATCTCAGCACAGTTTCATCGCTAAATGCAAATAATACTTGGGTGTTATCAGAATGACTAAAGATGAGCAATTGGAAAAGATTAACAGACTGGAATACACAGTATGCAACGGTTTCATTATGAGATCTGATCTTATGTTGAGCTTTAAACCATAGACAAACCAAAGAGTACAAGAAATAACACCAAGTACAATATCACCTTTTAGAGGATTCTTTTAGAAGAGTGGAAGAACTAGGCTTATGTGTGATAGCTAATCAAAAAATAATCTTTAACAGAGCATACACCAAGAAGGTGGGCTTTATTTTCCATTCATTATTTCAATCTAATAGCTCAATCTGTAACAGATCTCTTTTAAACTACAAACCCTCACATCGCTGTGAGCCATTCTATGGAAAGCAGATTAACTGAAAGCAAATAAGTACAAGTGGTGAGAGAGGAAACAACATCTTATATGGATCCTCTCATTATTGAATATGGCGATAAATGCAGATTCCCAGAGGTGGTGTTGGTTGTAGTATGAAAAGGAAATGTAAGAGACCAATCCATTTGTATTGATCCACCTCCATTAGCCTACTGAGACTATTTTCCGAAACATGATGGTGTCAGAAAATGAGAAGTTAGACAGGTTTTGGGGCATTAGACCACTCTTTACAATAAAGCAGCTGATGATACCGTGGACACCTGTAAGGAACAGCCACATTAAACCTGTAAAACCAGTGGAAAACACGTTACCCACACCGATTCATTGTGCTGAGCTTTCAAACCATAATAACACACCAGGATGTTTTCACAAGGGGCAACTCTCATATCAAGTGAGAGGGTGAGAAAGGCAGCAGACTCAATCAATATGTGTTTAACTGCAGCTGTGAACATTGTGCATCACAGAAAAAAAAAAGATGATAAGAGAGCAAACAAACAAGCTGTGGCTTGGCCTTGATCTGGCTCTGTCTTGAAGCCTGCTTAGCAGTGGCGTCTCATAGCCTCTGGTTTTTGAATATGTATTAGTGTTCGTTAGATAGCCTCTGGCATCCAGCCTGACCTAACAAGAAGGTCACAGAGCTCCCTCAGCCACGGCCCCAAGGCCTCCTGAGATGTACTACTACATGAATATTCACACACACTAACATCTCAGCTTTGGCACAAGATGGCAAGTTGTGAAACTGCTGGGGAGGAAATTAAACTGTGCAAAGCAGTTCACTGACCCTCTGAATAACACCAGATAATTAGGCTTCTGTCCTCACTGCCATATCTTAATTATAGTGTCACTGCAGAGTTACTGATGCACACAGGGCTGCAATAAATCTACTTGTTTTGGCATTTAAGTTTATCTCAAAATAAATAATTACAGTGCCAAACAACTGTCTTGCTCAATTCTTCCACATTTTTAATCTATCTTTTTGTCTTGTCATTCCTTGCTGTTACTCATTGCTTTCGAATCATATTCATTTTGCCTCAACATGTCATGTTGACATCCACTAGGGGGCAGCAGCAGCACATCCCATCCTGTCGTCTATTGAGAGCTGAAACTGCCATGACAAAGCATCAAGAGACTTGGCAGGAAACATTTTGAGAAAGTGAAGACGGCAAACTGTGTTGTCAAAAAAAGCTTTGTCTTTTGTATGTTAAATGATCTATTTTATGTAAATACAATCCCATGTTGAGCATAATCATATTGTTTTTTTTTTCCTCATCATGATTTGAATTTGGCAAAGGAGTTGTTGCTGGTAGGCACCACAATTAAACTTGATGGAACAACTTTTTAATGGCAGTAAAAAAGCGCTTTAAACCACAGACAATAAAACTATGGAGTTTGCAACTTCATAAAAGATAGCTTATATAGAAAGCTAATTGTCCTGAAAACACATTTAATCACAACACCTTGTGAAGATGTGACACTCACAAAATTACCTTGGAATCAATTAATCCAGCATTTATGTCTTGGTAAAACCATCATAAAAGGGGCACTCTGGTGGCCAAGGGTCTTAAGATGCTGGCATTCAAATCTGGCTGGGGACCTTCTTTGCTTATTGTCCCCTCTTTCCTTTTCCCCTTATTTCATGTCACCTCTCTGTCAACTCTCTAAAAAAAACAAAAAACAAAAAAAAACATCATCCTAGTGCTAAGCTTTTAGCTTTCAGGGAAAATTATTTGTTTGTCTCCACAGATGAACCCTGAAAAAGGACATGAAAAAACAATTTGACAATGTTTTGAGGGCACATATTCACATCAGGTCAAAAGGTGGCAGTGTTGTGATGGGAGCATCCACAGTCACAGCTACAGTATACACCCCTGGGCCTAGGATTTCAACAAGGCCATGCATTTCACCATGGTCAGAGTGAAAAGAGTGCAGGGCAGATGAGAAGAGAGGTTTAACGCTCCCTTTCAAGTCCTCCTCACCAGCTCTGCTTACAGCTAGGATCGACCTGGTGTTGCCATGGATACATCCTGGCCGTCAGCAAGAGAGGATGCACAAAGCCCATTACTCAGAACATGCATATAGTCACACATGAACACACACACACACACACACACACACACACAAAGATACTCAAAAATACCTGGAAACAGCAAAAACACAAACACATGACAGCCTTTGTACTGTTTCTCTACCCATACACGTGTACACACATACAGTCTGACTGGATGGCTGATGAGACCAGATAATTCTTACATACCTCACAAACCTGATTCAAGTCAAAATTTAAAGTGAAGAAGAGTCAAGATGACAAAATAAAAACATCACACAAAAGAACTGACGCAGTGAGGCATACGATACGACTTGCTCACAGGCAGTGTTCAATCAATAGTCTAGCATTCATATTTTTAGGTTATTGCAGGATTCAATGAATTCATCCTGCAAGGAGAGAGTAAACAAGCACTGAGCTTGGTCCATTCCCAGAAGATGCTGTGGTAGAATGAGGCAGGAGCCAAAGACAGTGATGCTGTTTTACAAAACACAATATTCTGTCTTCACAGTTTAACAGAAGGCTATTGCTATCTGATATGCTGAGTGTTATCTGAGAGCTATATGCAGACGCTCCCCCGCTGGGAGGAAATAGTATGGAAAGAACAATGATCTATTTTTATAAGTGAGTTGTGGTTAAACAGCACATTACACTTTTAAAGCAGCGAGGATGTGACAAATTTTCATGACTGGTCCTACTGAACGGTTAATAGCAAGACCAGTTTTGTGAAAATAATACACTGAACTAGATAAGGTTTGCCTGGCAGTAGATGACAATATAGCTGAATCATCTTTTTAAGGAAAAAATACATATACAAACATATTAGCCTTTATGCTAGGTGTCATGGTGATGCAGTGATTAGTGCTGCTGCCTCACAGCAAGAAAGTTCCATGTTCAAGCACACCCTGTCTCTTTCTGTGTGGAGTTCACATGTTCACCCTGTGCCTGCGTGGGTTCTCTCCAGGTGCTCTGGCTTCCTCCCACAGTCCAAAGACATGCAGCTTAGGTCAACTGGTGACTCTAAAGTGCCTGTAGGAGTGAGTGTGGTTGTCTGCCTCTAAGCATCAGCCCTGCAATAAATTGGTGACCTGTCCAGGGTGTACCCCACCTCTCACCCAGCGTCAGATGGAATTGTTTAATGATAAGATTAAAAAAAAAGATGTAAAAAATAATGCCAACACCAAAGCCCTTTTTATGTAAATGCTGCTAATTTCTAGAACTTTGTTTTCCATTTCACTTTTTCCAAATTAATCAGGAATCCTTGGTGTAAAGTCAAAGAGATTTTCCCAGTTTAGTGTGCTGATTATGTTTCAAGCTTGGAGGAAACGGATATCATACAGCTATCACAGGTAAAATAAAAGTCAAAATAATCACTAAAAACACAGAGGGATATAAAGTATAGCTCCCCATGCACTCAAGATATGTGACGGATGCACCAGACCACATCCTTTAAACCTGACCTCAGATGCAGGAACAATGAAAAAAAAAAATAAAATCACACTCTTCGGTTAGACTGTCTGACTCACAGATGGGATGGCAGGCATGTGTGTTGGCTAGTAAGCTTTCATCAGTGGCGTGTCTCTCATGTGATTCTATAGACCAAGCTCATCTTCAAATATCTGAGGTGAGTACTGCAGAGTAGCATTGGTAAATGGTAACTTAACTATTACATTTCTTTTTGATACCACACACCCTGACCCAACTATACCAAAGCAACAACCGCATGGTGGATGGATATAAAATCTGTATAGTCACTCATAGTTTCTTGAAAATGTCTGAAAATGTTTCAATGCTTGAATATGAGTTTAACCTTCAACAATATCTTGTCTGCTCCATAATAGATGAAGCAAAAGATGATCAAAAAGTAACAAACAAAGCAGGCACTCTCCCAAACATACCTATCTTCTGTCTAACCAGTATTGATTCATCTGCTGTTTACTTTGTTGATTAATGGCTAAGTAAACCCAAATACCAAGAACAGTTGAAAATCATCTCACTGGGAGCTGAAACAAGCACATTTTGCCATTATGTGCTTCAGGAAAGAACTTAAAGGATTATTTGGAATTGTTGCTAATTCACTGTCACCCAATAAATAAACTAACAAATCATCTAATTGTTTCAGGTGCACACTCTCCTTTGTCATGCAACAGTTTCTTTTTTAATCAGTCAGTTTTGTTTAAGCCTGTATCTAGTGAT